CCCACAGAGTCCTTAGTTCCTGGGACTGAGAGCTGAGGTTCAAAGGGGCCAGGAAGGGGAAGGGGGAGGATAATGGCTAGCTCCAAAACAGCCGAGGCAGCTGTCCCTGTCACAGAGAGAGGAGACTGTGTGACGGTGTGTCCATCTGCCTGAATGTGGGAGCGCGTGTGGGAGAGTGTGTGTTTGTAGGCCTCTAGCTCCAAGTCCTAGTGCTTATTTTGTCTGAGTGGGGGCCCGTGTGTGTCTGCATGTGTGTCTGTCTGTCTCTGGGAACACACAGCCTGAACTCTGCTTTCTCAGCCTCCTCGTCTTTTATTCTGGCCCTTATCTCTCCTCACCCTGCCTCCCTCTGCTGAAATAAAGGGTGAAACCAAGACACAGGTATGGAATGCTGGGGGAACGGGAGTTTGGAAAATGGGAAGTCTGGAGGCAAAGCAGACTGGAAGGATGAATGGCAATGGTGGGATTCAGCTTTCCCTACAGGGAAACCCAACTGTCCCTATTTTCCCAGCTCTGCCTTGCTCCTGTGGGCCTCTGGAGAGGTCAGAGGCATGGTTTGCAATTTTGAGGGCATCTTGGGTATGAAGAGACTTCAGAGCACCCCTTTTTCTAGCTCTCAGTTCTAAGCCTCCCCAGCTACTTGGGAAGAGCTACTAGTCAAGACTGCTCCAGGTCCCTCCCAATGGCCTCTCCCTTCTATTGGAGCATCATTGGGCCAGCCCTAAGCCTCTGGCTCCAGTCCTCATATCTGGAAGGGGAGGGAAGCAGAGCAGCCCCATCCCTGGCCTGACTTCTCTCCTTCCTTCCCGGGGTTCCATTCAGCCCTGCTTCTCCAACCCTAGGAGAGGGTCCAAGGTCTAGTCCTCTCTGCCTGTGGAAAGAACAGGGACTGTTTCTCAACCTCCTGCCTTGACCTCTGACCCATCCCCAATCTAGCTTGAGAGGTGGAGAGGTGGGGGGACAGCTGTCATCTCTGAGCTGGTTGAAGGGGGCATTACCATGTGCAAATACAGGCCGCTGCCCATCTGTGCCTCCCTGAGAAAGGCTCCTAATAAATTCAGAGCAGCCAAGTGACACACGTCTCAATCTAGGCTAATCCTCCACATTAATGCCACCTTGCACAGCCTGCATTAAGTCCCTGTTAATGGGGAGGCAGATGGACCCCTCCTACCCAGCTTTTCATCCCTGTGTCTCTGTCCCCAGACTCCTTTGGTTCTCCTCTGACCAAGAGGCATCTGGAGTCTTGAGCCCCACTAGTGCCCTTTTCCCTTCCCCCCACCAGAGGGGGCCTGGGAGAGCCAGAAGGAAAGGGGACCCTGCAGGGGAGACTCGGAGGGGGACCCAGGCAGGCTCCTGGGTAATGTCAGGTAAGGTTTGGCATAGGGAGTAAGGGTAGGAAGGGGGTTTTAAGAAGCCCACATCCACAGCCTGGGGCGTGACAGTGGTGACTGGTAGGGTGCAGTGTGTGTCTGGGCAGGTATAGAAGCAGAGAGTGATTTTCAAACTCGTTTTTGATCAAGGAAGACTTTCTTCAAATGAAATCTCTCCAGAAAGCATAAACAAAACAGACAAAAGCAGGGCTGCCCTAGTTGAAGTAGACCCGAGTAAGATCAGGCTAGATCTCTATCCCTGAGGTTAGCCCTAAGTTCCAGTCCCTGAGGGGGTTTGTGAGGAGGGCCCCAAAGAACACAGTCTGAAAAAGCAAACAAAGAGAAGCAGTTTAGGAATCTCCCAGACCTGGTTCAGATCCCAGCTCCACTGCTTACAAGCTCTTTAACCTTAATCATTACTTCAAGTCTCAGTTTCCTCACCTAAAAAAGGGTGATCATACCTAATATTGATGCATTCTTGTGAGGGGAGAGATAATGAGGTGAAGACACATAGTAAGTACTCATAAATGATAGCAGTGATTCTCCTTATGGGAGACATATCAGGCCTGGTTCAAAATCAAATCTGTCCCACTGGAGAGTGAATAACACAGGTTCAGACTGCGTCTCAGGTGTGACTGGCTGAGAGGCATGTTTGAGTTTAAGGGGATATTGGGCACTCGTGTGAGAGGGAATTTAATTTTTGAGTATGTGGTGTATGGTGTGTGGTGTGCAACAGTGTGGTTTTCATTAATTCAATAAATATCTGTTGAACACCAACAGTGCACCAGGCAGGGTTTTAGGTGCCCAACACTGAAGAAATCAAAGTCTAGTGTGTATAACTGTGTATAAAATCTCTTGAGTATACACCTCTCCCCGCCTTAGGCTGCTGTTTCACCATTCTATCCTAGGGCACCCTACACAGGGGTAGCTTTATGTCGGTGGCAGAGAAAAGGGGCAGAGAACTAGTGGGGAAACACTACTGGGAACCGGATAACCCGGAGATTTTCTTCCCATTAACCAGGTCTGTGTCTTCGCTTCCCTCCAGAGTCCTCCCCCCATGGAGTTCGGCCTGCTCAGCGAGGCAGAGGCCCGGAGCCCCGCCCTCTCGCTGTCAGATGCGGGCACCCCCCACCCCCCAATCCCGGAACACGGCTGCAAGGGCCAAGAGCACAGCGGTGAGCGCGCCACCTTCTGGGGGTGGGGGAAATAACAGCTCCATCCCTAACGAGGGTGGGACCCGGGAGTGCAAGCCCAGGTGGGAGTGAGGGGCCCCGCCGAGGAAGTCCCCGAGCCCGGGAATCCGCACAGGCAAGAACGCGCTGTGACCGACCCCACCCCGGCCCCTAGACTCGGAGAAGGCCTCAGTTTCGCTGCCCGGCGGCTCCCCCGAAGACAGCTCGCTGAAGAAGAAGCAGAGGCGGCAGCGCACGCACTTCACCAGCCAGCAGCTGCAGGAGCTGGAGGCGACCTTCCAGAGGAACCGCTACCCCGACATGAGTACGCGGGAAGAGATCGCCGTGTGGACCAACCTCACCGAGGCCCGCGTGCGGGTACGCCGCCCCCCACCCCCAGAGCCGCCCCCCTCACTCCATCCCGGGCCTCCCTCTCGCGGGCCGCTCAGCAAGTAGCTTCGGAACCAGCATCCTGTAGTTCTGCCCTGCCTGCCCCATCCTCGGACCCAACACCCGACGTACCCCGGCCCCGGCCCCTGCCCGCACGGCCTTCTTTCCGCCAGGCTCCAATCTCTGCTCTTCCTGCACCCTTTCACTCCAGACGGCGCGCTCCCTCTCCCCGGCACTGTCTCTGGTTCTCCTCTTCACCTCTCCTAGACCCGATCCTGCTGCCCACCCCCGCAGCCCTGTCGCCTCCGACTCAGTTCTGCGGCAGGCTGTTTCTTTCTCAGCCCGCTGACTCCGTGAGCTCTTCCCTCACCCCGACCGGCTGCTCCACCACCCCATTCCCGTTTCTGGGGTGGTTATGCTCCACCACCTCCTCTCGCTTATGCTCCGCCCGGCCCCGGACCCCGCTTGGTCCCCTGCCTGGGCGACCCCACCCACCAGCCAACTGCGAGGGCCGGGCCCTGACAGCCTTTCTCCCACGCCCACAGGTGTGGTTCAAGAACCGGCGCGCCAAGTGGCGAAAGCGCGAGCGCAGTCAGCAGGCGGAGCTGTGCAAGGGCGGCTTCGCGGCGCCGCTCGGGGGGCTGGTGCCGCCCTACGAGGAGGTGTACCCCGGCTACTCGTACGGCAATTGGCCACCCAAGGCGCTGGGACCGCCGCTCTCAGCCAAGACCTTCCCGTTCGCCTTCAACTCGGTCAACGTGGGGCCTCTGGCTTCACAGCCTGTTTTCTCGCCACCCAGCTCCATCGCCGCCTCCATGGTCCCCTCGGCCGCGACTGCCCCGGGCACTGTGCCAGGGCCCGGGGCCCTGCAGGGCCTAGGTGGGGGGCCCCCCGGGCTGGCTCCGGCCGCAGTGTCCTCCGGGGCAGTATCCTGCCCTTACGCCTCGGCCGCCGCAGCCGCAGCAGCAGCCGCCTCCTCCCCCTACGTATATCGGGACCCGTGTAACTCGAGTCTGGCCAGCCTGAGGCTCAAGGCCAAACAGCACGCCACTTTCAGCTACCCCGCCGTGCCCGGGCCGCCCCCGGCCGCCAACCTCAGTCCATGCCAGTACGCAGTGGAACGGCCTGTGTGAATGGCCCCGCCCGTCGATCATCCCTGAGGGCGGGGGCGATAATTTACGGCCTCTACGGACTGGGGTCGTCTTGCCTGGCTTGCCCCCGCCCCAGGGTCTGAGAGGGGTGCTGGGGCAGTCGGGCTTGGGGAGGCGGCCGGCTCAGGAGAGAGCCTTCTCCCTCCCAGGCCTGAGGGGTGGACTGGGCCCTTAGTCCGCGCCCCTGGAACTGAGGCCAGGAACAGGGACCAGTTCCCCGGAGGGCCAACTCACCCTTGGTCCACCCCGCCTTCTCCAGACTCCCCTTCCCCGGTTTTCAAAGATAAATGAAATAAACGTGCGCGGACTGTCAAAGGCCTGATGATTCAGAGTTGCGGTTGAGCCTTCTCCCCTTATCCTTCCCCATGTCTAAAGGAGAGCTGGGTGTACAGGAAACAAGATAGGGGTCCAGGCTTCTAGGGCTTCAGTCCTCCCCAGGCCACCATCACCAAGACGGGGAAGCCTGGGGATTCCTGGAGCTGAGCGGCGCACGCATGCGTGCGTGCGTGTGTAGGTGTGTATGGCTTGGACAAAGCTGGTACTGCAGCGCCACCTCGTGGTCTCATGGAGGATAACTGGAAGGTCTGATCTCGAATGCTTACTTAAAGATGTCAATTCTGCAGCTTAGGAAGCCTATGACTTTAGAAAAAGTTACTCCACCTTTCTGCAGCTGTTTCTCACTGTTCCTATGAGGGGCTTGGGCCTCTAACAGCAATAAACTTCTGGTCTGTAACAGACATTTATTAAGTGCCTACCAGGCCTAGTATTCTTATTGAGTGTCTGTGTGTGACTCATCCTTCCACACACCACACCCTCTTAAGCTTCTCACCCACTGCCAGCAGCCCTCCTCCATCACAGCAGTCCCCTTCATCCTCAAAATCCCCAAACCCCAAAAACCTTGTTGAAATCTTTAATTTAAAAAATAGAGCAAGAAGAAGAAAGATTTCTGGAAATATAGATCACTCAGCTCTGGGGAGCCTCTTCAGTCCCACTCCATCCCAGGGACTGTTTGGCCTTCACATTAAAAACAGAAACAGCAAAGTACTAGATCACACCCCCACCCCAGGGGTGACACTTCTTGACTGTCATAACCTCCTGCCACCTTGGGGTACACATCCCGTGGGGAAACCATGCAGAAAAGGCATCCTAATTATCTTCCCAAACCTAAGCTCAGCCCCTCAATGCCCTGGGGAGGAGAGAGCTCGGGGCTCCTTCTTTTCTCCAACCCTTCACTGGCTCTTGGTCTTGGCCTTGACCTTGGTAATTACATAGTTTTGGTGGAAGAACTGGACAAAGAGGAGGAAATAGGTTGTATACAAGATGAAGGACCAGAAGAGGTGTTCCTTTGTTGTATGGCATCCCTGTTCCTGTCTCCAGACGTAAGTCAGGATACCGACAGTAGCTCCCATAAACATCTGCAGGATTTGCAGGCTGGTGACGAGCATGGGAAACCACCTGGGGGGCTTTACTTTGGCAGCCTTCAGAGTATAGTAGGTGTACATGATGGCATGTACACCGTAGTTCATGGTCATGAACCAGCCGCCTGCAGCCACCTTGTTCTTGTATCCAAAGCTCTTGTACACTAGCTCTGTGCTGTGGTGGTACCAGTGCACAAAGATGAGTGGCCATTTATACAGGATGATGAAGGCCGTGTCTCCTGGGAGATGGGGAGTCATAGCTGGCATACCACCCAGTGTTGGGACCACCCTCCGCACTGGACGTGGGGGCATATGGGGAATTGTCAGGGCAGGGAGAGGGGTTTTTGTGGCAGAGAATCTAAGGAGGGGCTTGGGTGAGAGGTGTTGTTAGGACCCAGGGGTGGGGAAGGGACTTTCCAATGTGATGGGTAAGGCGGAGGGGCCCTGAGGAGGGGTGCAGTTGACTGGACACCAGAGAGACGAAGCCTTGCCACTCACCAAGTTCAATGATCTTGCTGAGAACAAAGAGGCAGGATCAGAATTTGATTATGGGATTATCGGTGAAGATGAAGAAGCATACAGTTTTCTTTAGGCTCCCCTAAGTAGCACAGTCCCCGTATAGCCCCATGTCCTCACTGCCCCAAGGATACTGAAATGGGACAGAGGAAAAGGGTGTAAGGGTCATTCCCAGGCATCAATCCACGCTTCGCCTGGTCAAATTCCACCACCTCCCCCCGCTCCACAGGGGATGGGTCACAGCTTCTGAGATCCTGTGGCCAACCTGGTAGAGCCAACCAGTAATCTAGAAGACATGAAGGCTAGGGAAGGACCAGGGAGTGCTGGAGGTTGGGACTGAAAGTTGAATTAGGGAATAGGGCTCATGGGATGGGAGGAAATGGGTGGCAGGATGGGGGGTGATCGAAGGAGTTTGGGGGGGCGGAATATGGGAAGAAGGGGCTGGGGAAGTTATTGGGAGGTCTTGGGATAGGGTATTAGATGCAGAGAGTATTAGAGGCTGGGGAAAATGTTGGAAGTACCAAGACTCCATGAGCACAAGAGGACTTGTGAGAGAGAGCAGAGACGGCCAGTTCCGGGACTGGAGAGGGAAAACAGGGGAATATGGGAGGAGGGTGGAACCTGAGGAGAGAGTTAGAGCTGAGAGAATGGGATAGGAAGAGAGTTAGGGGGCAAAACTTGGGGAGTTGATACAATTGAGGTTTCTAGAAAGTTTTTAGGGATAGAATGTGGGTCTAGGGTCTATAAGATGGGTTGTGGGGGGGGGTCTTACCTGAAGATTGCAAGGCAGAATGACCAAAGGATGAGAGGTCCCTGCAGGTTGAAGCCCTTCCGTGCCTTCATGTAGTTCTGCCCCACAAAGATGAGCAGCAGGTAGATCAGAGCTATGGTGAATGAGGTTGCCCTGGCAGGCAGAAGGGAGAGGGGATGGGCTTATGGGTAGGTGCTGGTTAGAGGAATGCCCACTCATATCCCCAGGTGAGTGCTCTGGGTTGGAGTCCTACTTCTGCCATTTACTAGCTGTGTGACACTGGAAAAACTACTTAGTTTTCTGAGCATTAGTATTCCCCTTATTTTGTGAGAGGGGAATACCACTCCTCTCCTGACAGTGTTAATATATACAAAGTACCTAGCACAGGGCAGGGGCTATGTCCAAGGTTTCTGTGATTACTGCTCTCTCAATGGGGTTGGGAGACGGTGACAGCTGCTGACCCATGCCTAGAAGCAACCCAGGACTGTGGTGTAAGAAGAATGTGGCAACAGCTTCTGCCTGGTTGGGTCATGACAAATTGGAGCACAAAGTCAACCCACAAACACCTCTGAGGAGCTCTTAGGCAAAGCCCGAGGAAATTTTGGAAGAGTATCTAGATTTTGTCTCCTTCTCCACAGCAGGGATGATGGAGCATTTGAGGAACAAGATGATAACTGTGAAGGGAAGGCTGTCCCCAGGTACCAGCACTATGCACGCATGCGCACACTTATAGTCATCTATAAGGTGGGTGCGAAGTAGGAGTTCAGATCAACTCCATTCTTCAGAGACCAGTTCTCACTACACTCTTTCCTCTTGGTTTCTGTCTCCTCCCACATTCCTCACCCCATCCTCTTATTTCTGCCTTCCTTTCTTCCAGACCTAACCTCTCTGAGGTGCCACACTACCTGCACCTTGGACAACGGGTACGTGAAGCCAGTACTGGGGAGCCCGATACCTTTGCTCTTTAGCAAAATCACTGTGGGTATTCTGTGTATCGCCCTCCCCCTCTTCCGCCAATACCCCCAAATAGCAGTCATCAGAGTTGGGCCCCTGACACGGCTCTTCCCCTTCTCCAGGTCTCACCAGTACTCCTCCAAAACGGGCCTTATGTCCTGGAACAGCTCGAAGTTGTAGGGCTGGAACATCTGCTCTACTTCATCTGAGACATTCATGGCTGTGACCATTTCATTCTGTAGATGCTGAGCTCGGGAGCTTAGGGAGCTGGACGAGAGTTAGGGGACCGAGGATGGAGCGAACCTTGGGGCAGGACTGACCAGACCCAGAACCCAAGGTACTACGCGGCAAGCCGAAGAGCGTCAGATCCAGGCACGTGCGCTGCAGTCCAGCCGGCTTCCACCACCACCGCCGCCAATGCGGTATATAACGCGGAATTGTCAAGCAGCAGGCCTCGGAGGCTCGCGGCCCCTCCCTGCGCCCGGCCATTATCCAATCTCGACCAAGATACGCCCCTGTCCCACCCCTGGGCCGCAGCCCGCTCTCTGATTGGTCATTCAATGGATGAGGCTCCCCCCCCCCAGAAGCCTCGCACTACAGTTGGCCTTCGCCACGCCCACCTTCCCATCTTTTTCTCCCGGCAACACTTCCACTCCCACCTGTTTGGCTTAGCCATTGTGGCCTTGCTAGTTACCGAGACAGGCCAGGCTTCCCCTGGCACTGCCGACTATAACTTTGGCTTCAGTTTGCTTTAATCCTGACCTACCTGGCAGTGAACAGAGAATGGAGGTGTCCTCAGTCTCTGGTGCCAGACATAGGGGTGTCAGTTTCCCACCTCCCCAAGACGCTGGGAAAACCAGGCCTGGGATGAGGCTGGGTCAGGCTGGGGAAGGAGCAGCAAAGAGCCCCTCCCGTAGTCCCACCTGCCTCCCTCATGTCTGTAGTTGTGGGTGGGAGGGAGATGAATTATAATGAGTTTTATTGTGGAGGTAGTTGATGTTTGTTGAGGCTGTTGTGGTTTCTTTACAGTTTCCTGAATTCCTGAACTGCTCCAGCCTGACACCCAGTAATAACCCTGGGGAGGGAATGGGGTCACCCTCTGGGCTTCTGGGATTATTGTCTTCAGGTTTACTGGAGACCTCCTGCGATTTATAGAAGAGGAGATGCAGTGCATCTCCCAGTGTCCTGCGTTCACCCCTAGTCTGTGCTTATCTAATCAAATCTACTTTTTCCTTGCCTGTATACCCAGCCCCAAGCAAATAAATATTTTAAAACTTTTAAGGCCTTATTTATTTCTCTCCTAGTCTTTATGAGAGTGAGGGAGAAATACAAGGCTTGAAGGCAGTTTGAGATAAGATGGAGATTTGCAAAACAAATGCTAAGATAATTAAATATAAAATATTTAAAACCACAAAGCTGCTATAAATGGCTATGTGCAGTAAAGCCCACAGGCTCTGTAGCCAGAGGACCCAGGTAGGAATTCCAGCTCCACTTCTCAGCTACTGTCTGAGCTGAGGGTGGAGTGAGAAGTCCTGCCCATGCTATCTAAATGACTCTCAAGTGCATCCCTTTGTCTCTGTTCCTCATCACTTCTCACCTGGTTACTACAGCCACTACCTTAGTCACAATAACTGGTTGCACCACCACCTTCTCTAATATAGTGCTTTCTATTGCATTAGAATCAAAAAAGAATACCCAAACCTGGCTGATCATAGCATTCCTGAGCCCCAACCCCAGAGCCTCTGACCCAGTATGTGGTCTCGGACCATTCTTTGAAAACCACCACTTTCTGTCCTTTCAGCCAAAAGAGGGTTCTCAAACGTAAATTGGATCAAGCTGCTTTCCTGCTTAAAAACTTACTGGCTCTCGATTGCTTCACACATAGCCTGACACTCAGAAGGTGATCAGCACATGTTTGATGGATCAATGAACAAATGAAAGAATGAACATTGCAAGAATAATACCAGCTAGGGACTTCCCTGGCAATCCAGTGGTTAAGACTCTGTGCTCGTAATGCGAGGGGCACAGGTTTGACCCCTGGCTGGGGAAATAAGACCCTGCATGCTGCACAGTACAGCCAAAAGAATTAAATTTCATTTAAAAAATTAAAAACATAGGTGTGGCCACCTGTTGGGATCTTTACTAATTGAAAAAGAAAAACAAAACAAAACAGCTTAAAAAAAATAATTCCACCTAGGTGTTACAAGACCTGGATTCAAATGTCAGCTCTACCATTAGTCATGCGATTTTAGGCAAATTACCTAACTTCTCTGAGACTCAGATTCTTCAATAAAATGTAGGTAGTCATACTTGCCTGCCTACCTCACAAGGTTGGGGTCAGTATACAAGTCAGATAATATCAATGAAAGGATATTATGGACTAGACACATGGAAATGTCAGGGTGCATCATTTGGGGAGGCTTACAAATGCATATGAGTATGTATACACAGTCCTGGGTTTCTCTCAAATAAAGATATTTTACATTGCCTTTCCCTGTGAAGTTTAATGGTGAGGCTTGAGGGAGGGGTGTGTGTAAGAAGGGAAGAAGAAGAAAAACCTCCAGAAATTATTTCCTAGGGGAAACCTTCCCTGACATTTGGACTTGGTCTGCTACTCCTGTTATATATAAATTGCTCTCATAGCATGGCATTTCTTTCGTTCAATGAGAGTTTATAATTATGATTTCTTGATTAATACTTGTTTCCCCTACTAGTCCTTGAGCTCCATAAATGCAAGGAATATGTCTACCTCTCATTAGCTACCAGAAAGGTCTTTCTAAAACATACATTAGATCATGTCATTCTTCTTTAAGAACAAAAAAATCTTCAGGACAAAGTCAGATTCCTGAGGTTAGCCCTGACTCTTTCTTTATAGTCAATGTCCCACCATCCTTCAGCCCCAGCGTTCCACATTTTAGCTATAATGGAAGAGTTGCAACCCCATAACACAGCACCATATTTTCAGACTTTTCAGCTCCTTTACCTCTCTCCGTATTGTTCCCTCTCCCCACACATCATTTTCTCACCTGGACAAATCTTATTGTTCCGCCCTAGCTCTGAAGTCACTTACCCTGCAAAAGCCTAATCTTTTTCAGACAGGGACAACCCTTCTCTTCTTTGTCTTCCATCCACAGGACTTTGCCCAAACAGCCTTCCAGGATTGTGCTTCTACCGAGGGAGTACAGTTAACCATATATTTCCTATACTATCCTGGCTCCCACACCCTATCTCAAAGGGTCGTTTTTGTTAGGTCACTCCCCCTCTGAGGGATGCACACAGCTCTTGGCACAGAGTGGGCACTCAAAATATGTCTGTTGCTTTGAATTGAGTAAGCACCTAAGAGGAAAAACAAACAATAAACATGTGTATTTTAAAAAAGACTCAATTCCTTAGTAATTAGGGAAATGCAAATTAAAGACTGTAAGCATAGTATGGTTCCAATTAACAGCCATTAAACAGAGTAAAAATTAAATACCCAGCGCTGGTCCAAGCTTTGGGTAACAACAGATACATTCACACCTGGCTAGGTAAACTGCCATAATCCTTCGAGAGGCACACTTAGGTCACACTTAGCAAGAGCCAGCTAGTTTGCTTTGACCCAGTCTCTCATCTACGAATTTAAAACCCAGTGAAATAGAACAAAAGAAAAAAATATCTATGTGTACTAAAATACTTAACGTCATTGGGACTTAAAAGGGCTGCAAACAATCCACTAATGAGTGCTTAAATTATTAAATACTATACTACATACTAAGATTACAAAACAGCTTGCAGCTACCAGAACATGGAGAAACGTGAAACCATGTTTGTAAAATAACGTGAAAGAAAAACAATATTTAAAACTGTATCTAGCTCGTCCTTCTGCCGCTGCTCTTGGGCCGGGCAGCGCGTGGGGGAGGGGGGCGAAGAAGCCGGGGAAAGGCTTCGGGCGCGGCTTCCCTCGCAGGCTCCTGGGGTTCTGGCACTCCCCAGCGGCCCGGGGCCCATGGCAGCTCGGCGGCAGCGCACCGGGAGGCCAATGTCCGGGGCTCGGTCCCCAGAGAGCCGCCGTTCCTACGCTCCAAGGTGATCCCCATCCCTGCCGGAGTATTTACAGTGGGCACCAATGATCCTCAGATAAAGTAGGATGGGGAAGCACTTGCGAGGAGAGTTGCTATTGATGTCTTTTACATGGATGCCTATGAAGTCAGTAATGCTGAATTTGAGAATTTGTGAACTCAGCTGGCTAGCTGACAGAGGCTGAGAAGTTCGGTGACTCCTTTGTCTTTGAAGAAATGTTGAGTGAGCAAGTGAAGTCTAATATCCAACAGGCAGTTGCAGCTGCTCCCTAGTGGTTACCTGTTAAAGGCACTAACTGGAGACACCCAGAAGGGCCCAACTCTACTGTTCTACACGGGCCAGATCATCACGTCTCCTACTGCACGTGGATGGGGAAGCGGTTGCCCATGGAAGCTGAGTGAGAATACAGCTGTCGACGAGGCCTGTAAAATAGACTTTTCCCCTGAGGCAACAAACTGCAGCCGAAAAGCCAACATTATACCAACTTTTGGCAGGGTGAGTTTCCTGTGACCAACACCAGAGCGGACGGCTTTCCGAGGAACTGCGCCTGTTGACGCCTTTCCTCCCAATGGTTATGGCTTATGCAATATAGTAGGGACGCCTGAGAGTGGACTTCAGACTGGTGGACCGTTCACCATTCTGTTGAAGAAACGATTAACCCAAAAGGCTTTCCCCTTCTGGGAAAGACCGGTTGAAGAAAGGTGGATCCTACGTGCGCCATAAATCCTACTGCCTATAGGTGTCGCTGTGCTGCTCGAAGCCAGAACACACCCGACAGCTCCGCTTCGAATCCGAGATTCCGCTGAGCAGCCGACCGCCTGCCCACCACCGGCTAAGAGCCAAGAAGAGCCTTCCCGAATCCGAGAAGTCGTACGTAACCTGCACACGGCTTCCATCAGAACGCTGAACAATCTCGTGTGAAGTATTCCCGCCCCGAGGTGGGTTACATGCCTGCCCGATGGCCAAAGGAACGCCATTGCCAGACCAAATCGCTGACTCGCATCAGCATGTGTGGTTTATCGTGTGGTGTATTTCACGTTACCTTTGAGAGTCTTTAAAAGAGGAAGGAAGTGGAGGGCACCCTGAGCTAGGCTTCAGGAGGCCTGCCTTCTCCCCCTGCGGTTAGACCCCAGAGTCCCACACTTGACCCTCCTGGGCCTCAGTGACCTCATCTGTCCAGTGAAGGGATACATAACACGATTTCTGAGGCTCTCTCCCGCTCACAGATTCTCTGAATATATCCGATTCTGTTGTGATTTCATAGTGAGAATTTATGACTGAGGATTTTTTACCTATTTTTTTCCATGTGTGAACCTTGGGTGATACTAACCATGTACAATAACTGTTCTCTTATGTATTATTTTCAGAAAAG